CTGAAGCCATGGCCTGACTTTGACCTGTCATACGTCAGCGACCTTACAAGGTACATCTAAATTTTTAGATCAAACAATCCGCTGTTCAATTGCCTAAAGCTATGCAAAGTTTGGCGCGCCTATGCCGCGCCGTTCGGAAACAATTCTGGAAAAACCTTCGGGGGGCCAATTTGACCCCCACCCGAGCGCGTGTTAATGATGCAGCCTCTGGTAGGCGTAATGCAGAGGACCGCGTGTGCCGCGTCTAATCACTGGCGGATATGGTGACTGTTTAAAAGCCAGGGGGCGGATTTGGCCCGAAATCGGAATCGACATCGGAATAAAAGGCAAAGTTTCGGAATCTGTTAGGCCAGTTTTGACGGGCGTGTCTGAGGGAAGTTTTGCGGCACGCTTAGATTTTGATCGGGCGCATGCAAAAAAAAAAAAAAAATACAAACAGTTGCACCCTCTGAGAGCAAAATGCTACTGAGTCTCATTTTGTATTGAGTATTTAGATCACTCACGTTTAACACGTTTGGATGTTATACAAGCTCTTTTTAAATATGTGGCCGCTGCGGGATCCAGACCATTGCGATAATAAAAATAATTTGCTGCTCAGCAAGGTGTTACAACGCAGATAATATTGCTTGTTTGCATACCTCATTACATGCCACCTGCAGCCGCCTCCAATAATAACCGAGCGATGGCGGATCCAGGATACACAAAGTTGGTGAGCGGAACATATGTTCGGTTCTGCGTCGGGATACGAGCCAATCGATAGTTGCCGCTCTTCTCTGTATGTATGCTGTTGGTGCCGTCGCGGTGACGCCATGCCGCCTTCTCTGCGGCACCTGAGCTCTGCTGAGAATTCAGACATGTGTCTGGATCCCAGGAAATGATCCAGGATCCAGAGAAATCCTTCGACAAAGTTGTAGGGTCGATCCTGGACTCTAACACATTTCTCAACAAATTTCAGAGAAGAGCAATGATTCCGAGAAATGGAAACTTTACAGAAGTTGGCAGAAGGATCTCGGATCTAATAATCTGCTGGTAAATAGTTCCTGGATCTTGGAAGATCGGAAATTTGTAACTTAAACGCTTCAGCTCCGAAATTTATATTTGAGGTCTGCGTGCACTGCCCGAGATAATACAGATAAAAAGATACACAAGTTATCATTTGCATCATGCTTGAATTTTGTCCATTTGTGACATTCTGATTTTGTGCTAAATCATGGTATGGCCATTTGAATCAGTTTATTCAATCCTGGCATGTGGATCCTCGCGAGTTGCATTAAATTTTATTCAGAAATAAAAAAACTATCATGTGTGTTTCGCACACCTAGCCCCCAAATGAGAAGAGGCAGCCCAAAATGATGTACATCTTTAAGTGCATTTGCAAGGCACATTATAATATTGGTAGCGTCATTGGCTGCAGCTTTTCATTATAATTGTCCCAAACATGCAATATACTGTCGAGTGCGCGACAGGTGGTACCTACGAACATCCGGATTCAACCTAAAAGTAGTCTTCGTAGTCTAAGCCCTTTGTTTTTTAATATCTATTGTTTTAAGCAGTGCAACAAAGCACATAAATTGCTGTTAACAATGCGGTATTAAGACAAATGGGCATTAAAGAAATATGTGATGCTCATGCCAAGTGAAGACCTATTTTTGGTATTAATACATATACATTCTTCATCAGCATTGTTTTGCCGTTCAGTCTGCAATGAAGTCTGAAAATATTTGGCTTCCACAAGCAAATGCCACGACAATTCGATGACTTTGACGCGCACATGACAGCGGGGAAGCTCTGTGTGTCCTTTTGTTCCAAGGCCGTTTCCAGGCTTTGTTTTTTCGCTCCTTTGTTTTCATGATCAGTGCCCTCGATTCTTCCCGCTGTTCTTTGCGCTCCGTTTTGTACCAGCCGACTTCATGCATTTGTATGCCTTGTCCTGACATTTCCAAGGTCTTTAGTGCTCCCATGTGAGGTGTTCTGAGATCCCAGCCCGCTGTCGTTGTGCCTCTCATGTTTTCCCTGAAAGGCGAGATGGCTGGTTCGAAAGAAAAACGTCTAGTCGTTACAAATATGTACGGGGGAGGGGTAGGGGGGAGGCGGTTCTACCTGCTTTTGCCAAAGTTCACGCATTTATGCGGAGTACTTATTTTCTAGGTAGGGAGTGGCCCAGGCCTATTGTCGGCCTGTAAACTGAGGGCAACCGATGCTTATGATAAACATATGAATATATATTAGCATCGAAGCCCAGTGGTGTTTTGAAGGCAGCGGCGTGGTTAAGTGCCTTCCCCTTTATGAAAGTTAAGATTCGCCTGCGGTTCGTACATGACTAAATGTTTGCTGCCATGAGTTAATGTTGGCGAGGAAAAAACATCAAGCATGCCTTGTTAGAAGAAAAGTCAAATATGTCCAAATTTTGCGGCAGCGGCGGTACCCAATGCGCTTCCAGGGGTGGGCACTGACTGGGACGCAATGCCAAGCCGATTGTCAAAGGTATGTCGCTATGCCAGACCTGACGGGAACAGTCGAACCACAGCCGAAATGTGCCTGATCCCAAAATATCCTGTGAAGAAGCCTAAAAGCCAACATTTTTTTTTTTTACTTTCGACAAATTGTTAACTTAAATCGTCGAACCTGGTGGATCCTTCGCTAAAATGTCAAGCTTGAATTCGGCCTTAAGAGGATCGGGGGTCAATCACTGACGCAGCACCCAATGGCCAGAGCGCACCACTCTCCGCCTCGCGGGGATAGCTGATCACACAGTCACAGTGTTTGAAAACCTACACGGGCAGCCTTTTAACCACATGGTCATGCCTTCCTCAGCTCGGACGTGTGGGGTCGGATGCGCGGTTGCCGCCAGCTAAGTCATCAGTCATCAGTCATCGCCAAGTGGCACTGTGAGCAGCCGCGGCCCGCGCGGACATGCGGCGACCGAAAGCCGTGTCCGAGGTCGGGTCGGTCACCTGACCTGAGGTCTGCTCGGTGTGACCTTGGGCCGCGGTCGGAGCGATACACGCGCGGGGTCAGCATGCGCGATCCGGTCCCCGCGCCAGGCGCCTCGTGGCTGAACCCCCCGCGCCGTGCATTAAACCACGCCCGTACTTGTGCGGCCGGCCGCGGACTCGATGCTTTTAGCCAGGTCTGACTGAAGCGCCGATAATCAGCAAACAAACAAACAAGCACCAAGCCTAGCTGTGCTCGATTGCGTGGAGTTTTAACGACCCAGCGTGGTTGGCAGTTCAGCTGTTTACGGATGTCGTGCTTATCCGACGGCATTTCTGCTCGGCTCGGCAGTAATCCCACGGCTTTGGCGCTACTCTCTTCCGCGCTCCGGCCGCCGCCTTTGCAGAGTGTTGATGTGCTGAGCTTACCTGTTTGATGGCTGGTTAGCGGTCCTGTCTTCTGGGGATTTGGCGACGCCTACACGCCACGGCACGTAGTCTCGGAGGATTTGCTCGCGGCCACTGCATGACGTCATGCAAGGCGTCGCACACGCCATGTGGATAGCGGTTTGGAACACCAAACTCCAATCCCCTGTGATACATCCAGAGTACCTGGTGAGAAGAGTGCCAGTGACACCGATATAGAGACCCCCCCCCCCCCCTCTCTCTCTCCCCCATCCGCTCTGGAGCGGGTTAATCCTGGAAGCAGCCTGCTGACGAGCTGCCTGTGGCACACTGAGTGGGCTGCCCAGCGTTCACTTGTCTAACCTCTGTGGCCGCCACAATGTGCCGCTGTACCATGCGCGGTTGTAGCGACCTCAGCACTGAGTGCATCACGCACCGAGTTTTCAACCGCAGCTGCTCAGTCTCACCGCGGCCATTCCGGCCGACAGCAGCGGATGGGCGTCGCTGACGCTGTGAGGGCGCGCCACCCCTCCTCACATTCACGTGTCAGTCGGTCGGTGACGGCTGACCCGGCAGACCGCCCGCTGGGCCCCGCCACCGGCGCCGCCGCCGTCTGATCGTGCACAGCAGCAGCTCGGGCATCTCGGGCTTCCCCGCTCGCCCTGTAAAAAATGCGCCGCACACTCTTCCCTCCCAGCCTAGGTGCCCTGCGGTCCCAACCCTCCCTCCCAGCTCAGGTACCCTCCGATCCAGCCCGCTCCCTCCCAGTCCCGGTATCATGCAGTCCCCACCCTCCCTCCCACCTCAGGTGCCCTGCAGTCCAGTCCCTTTCTTCCCAGCTCAGGTACCCTGCCGTCCAGCCCCGTTCTTCGCATCTCAGCTGGGCGGCGCCGCCGCTGCGGCCCACCCGCGTCAGCACGTGGCGCCCCCGGCTCTGGGCGGGCCGTCTGCAATAATTAACGCAGCTTTTTACGCCGGCACGATCTGATTGCTAATTGATCACGACGTCAGAGCGCGCATAATGAAGGCGAGCCCGAAGCGTGCGCCTGCCGCTCGCTCTCCAAACAGGGGCGGCTGGCCGCGCTTCTCAGCAGCCTAAATGGAGCGCGTGAATGGGCCGTCGTGGGTGTGCCGGCCGCGGCGAGCGCGGCCGGGTGGTCCCGCCTGGCGGGGAGCGTCCCGTATGGCAGCGCCGCCGGCCAGACGCTCGCGCCGCTCTATGCAGAGTGGATTCAGATTCGCTCCACTGCAGAATAGCGCCGTGCAAGCGAGATCTTCCTGACGGACGTGAAGAGGGCAGCGGCTTACAGACGATAGTGTGGAAACTAAGACGCGATTTCGATAGCCTCCGACAGGTTTAAGGCAGAAGTGCTCGCTCGCACTCGGATGCGTAGCCTGATCCGCGACGGTTTTGACCTGATTTTCATACCTCTTCTGACAGCGATTACCTCCACGTCCATTACGGAGCACCTCGGCTTAGTGGGGGCCTTCCAGATCCTCAAGGCGCGCCGCCGCTCTGCCCGACATCCGACGCTCCCGTTCCGGCCCGCAGCCGGGACAGCGGCGGCGCTCCGGCAGGGCCGCCAATAGCGCGGCCGCCGCCGGGCCGGCCCCGTGCTGCCCTCTACGGCCTGCCGAGCGACGCTCAGTCAGCCGCCGCGCGTGGACGGAGGGGCACGGGCAGGGCCACCGCGGAGCCGCCGTGATCACCTGAGCGTGCCGCCGCGACCTGACCTGACCTGACCTGAGCGGACCCAAGCTGACCTGACCTGAGGAAACCCGAGCCGAGCTGGCCCGACCTGACCTGACTGACCTGAGCCGACTTGAGCAGCGGCGTGACAGGACCGCGCCGCAGCGGAGGACAGCAGCGCTGCGCGGGATGTGAGCGACCCGAGGTGCCGTGAGCGCGCTCCGGGACGATGGCGAACAGGCGGCACCGCTGGGTACATTGTGTCGTGTTCCTGCTCTGGCTGGCCCTGCAGGCGCACGTGCTGAACGGCTGTCCGCCCGAGTGCTCGTGCCAGGGCTCGGCCGTCGACTGTAGTCACCGCAAGCTGGAGCGGGTGCCGCGCAATCTGCCGTACGGCGCCACGCGACTGTGAGTACCCGCACTCCTGCCCAGTGCCCTGTGCAGCGCAGCGACAGAATCCGGCATTCCCAAGGAGTCTGTCTCACTGAGAGACGGACGCCGTCCGTTGTCCCCACGGCGTCACGCGGGAGACGTGCCCCTAACTGGGGCCGCTGATGGGCCCTCGGACGCGCCGTGGGCTCGATGCGCTGCGAAATCGCCGTTTCTGCGACCGCCTCTTGTCAGCGGTCGGAGCGATGCTCATCACGCAGACACTGGCGCCAAACGTTCCGTTCCGTTCGTTCCGTTCGCTCTGGTTTGCCGCTCATGTCAACAGCTTCGTGCACAGTGAATGACACGCTAATTAGGCACCACGGTATGGCTTGTTATTACCAAGCTTTATGACGCATTACTGTGAACGAAATTGACGAGCATAGCGCTGGGATTCGCTACGAATCAAACAAATACTATAGTGTCAGTATTCATCGGCATGCAGTAATTGTAACAGTGGCCATGCTACGTACACTAGCGCTAAATAATTTACGGCCTTGCTAGACCTGTACGCGAAATAGCTGGTACACGTCATGGCATCACAGCATGGATGTACTTTTAACAGAGTGATGAGAAGTAGTACCTGTACTTCGACTCACCACTGTACGTAGAATAACCCGGATCGTGGTTAGGCACGCGGGTAGATCTTCAGGTAGAATACGGCACTCACGTCGCACATCAAGCACATAATGACACTGATATGCATCAGTGCTTAATTAATTGTGTCGGTGAGCATAAGCTTACATTACTTGCAATGGTCCGTGTTCTGCAGAAGCTAGTATTTCATGTTTTGTTGCGCCCCGCTGCCAGAAGCTGCACGCGAAATAACCGATACACTTATGTGGGCACGGCACCGACGTATTTGCATTAGTAGAGCTTGCTGCATGTCACCCGGAGGGAAAAGAGTAACGGCCACGCTCGCGTCACATACATTCCAGTCGGCTGCTAACGGAGCAGTTTCGGCAGGGGTGGAGGGAACGCGGGTGGGTCGCTCACCGCCAGCCTTCGGTGCCGCGAGACCCAGCCGTCTAGCAAATCTCCTCTGGTGCTGGCTATTGACACAAGCGCGGTGCGTCAAAATATTCCCCGTGACCAGTGACGAGGGTGCTGGTCAACACAGCGTGTGCTCAGTGGATACACAGCGGTCGCGGTCGACACGCCAGCTCAATATCCCAGCAAAACACAGCGCAGGCGGCGCCGGTAACCCGACCTGACGCCGGCGCGCTGGCCGCGCTCGCCGCGGCGCAGAGCCCGCCCTGGCCTGTCGGAGAGAGCGCGGCGTTTAAGTCAATAATCAGCGTGTGATCGACGGCAGAATTGTAAGCACGTTACGTTTGGATGGTTTGTATGTTTTATGCAGCGCATGGCTTGTGTGACAGGTCGGCACGTAACATCCCAATGTTGATTCAGCTGATATCAGCGGCTACACCGCTGCGTTTGACACACAGATCCTCTCAGTCACCGCAAAACGAAGTGAAATGCTTCGTCCAAGTGTGCACTGTATTCAAATAAAGTGCTAGTTGATAGTCCCCACTAGAAGTCGCTCTACCTTTGCTAGCCGGGGCTGCTCCCTCAGAACGTTCGGTATTTAACACTTCTGAAGTCAGATTTCAATGCTCTGTTCTGAATATTGCCCCAAGTCTTGGGGACTGTGAATCTCCACACAGCATATCACCATGATCAAAAGCCGTTGCTATCCCACTTCTCCTTACCAGGGTGGGAGGGGGGGGGGAGGGTGTAATGTCTGAGTGGTCGCTTTCTGGGGCTCAACACGTAGCCGGCTGGGGGTTCACGATGGCGGAGGCCCCGCCTGTTCGTGCCATCCGGAGGTCCGTCTTGCCCCTTCCTGCGGCGATAGCGGCCCGTCCGGCGGCCCGTCTCGCCCCTTCCTGCGCGTGCACCGGCCCCGTGCACCACTGTAAATATTATGAAGTGCACATCACCGGCGGCCATGCCCGGCTGCAACCAACCCCGTGCGTGCACACGGGCGTGCACTCACGCGCACGCACGACCACCGTCTGCGGCGGCGGCGGCGGCGGCGGCGGCGGTCAGACGCCCTGAGCTCCAGCGTCAGGCGCCACGGCGAGTGGCGGCGCGGCCGCAGACCTGGTCTCAGCCATGCCAGCCCGTTCTGCCGGCGGGTCTCCGAGAGCGCAGCTGCGAGCAGGTCTCGAAGGACATCGTCTCGGAGAATGTCACGTCTCGGATAATACCACGTCTCTGAGAACGCACGTCTCGGAGAACGTTGTGGCTCGGACAACGTCACGTCTCGGACAACGTCACATCTCGGAGAACGTCACATCTCGGATAACGTCACGTCCCTGAGAACGCGCGTCTCGGAGAGCGTCACGGGCACGCCGCTGATGCAGCGCCAGTATCGCGAGGCCGTGCGTCTCGCTCGAAGCAGGACCCTTGTCGTCGCCTCGCTCAGGGAGCTCATCAGCACTCCCCGGCGGCGGTAAATCGCCGGTTCGATCGACTCCGGTCGCGCCGCGGTCGCTCTGTGGCGTTCATCAGAGCCGCTGCAGCTGCCGGGCCGTCGGCCGTCGCCGATGTATCGTCCCTAGCGGCCCGTCACGCCAGACCGCGCCAGTCCCGATTTTAATTAGATCACGCGGAGAACGTATGCGAATAATTTGGCGGGTCGGGGGTGCGGCCCGTCGGCCGTCGGCGCGCGCTTTTGACTGGGGGCGAGGACGGCGAGACTGGTGGTCCGGCGGCGACGACTGGAGCCGGCGGGAGCTTTCTCGCTGAGGCTGGCTGACAGCCTCCGCGTTTAACACTGGAGAAATGAATGGCAGTAATTTGTGACGTCAAAACTGAGAATGGTATATTAATATGAGCATTTCTGCATGGCCACTTGTGCGGTGTTTGATTTAGCAGAGAATGGGCGGGGTGCATTAAGATGAATGACCTGTGCCAGCTCGTAGTTTTGTTAATCTTTTGGTGCTATGCCCGTATCTTTGATCTTGTGATGATATGGCTGGAAGGGCAGTCCGTATGTTAGCACATAGCAGCTATTATGTGCACTGTGCAATGCAGGCATGTATCAAATGCAATTTGTTTGCGTTTCTGTTCCTTCACTCATGGTATTTGCCTGTGCAGGCAAGGCTATCTCATCATGCTGCTAATGTTTGGCAATTTCCAGTATATCTTCCAACGACGATCTCTTTCGGTTTCTTCCTCGCTGCGCTTGGTCCGTTCAGCTGACCACACCGCACACCGACTCGTTCATACTGAGCTCCGAACGGTGCGGCCGAGTCTGCAGCACCGTCCGTCCACCGTCCGCTGTTATAGCCTATTATCGCAACAGCCACCGGGAGCTAGGCTGGCTCCAGAGGGCTTCAGAGAGCTTCAGAGAGCTTCAGAGTGCTTAAGAGGGCTGCTGAGGGCTTCAGAAGGCTCCAGAAGGCTTTGCAGCGCTTCGGAAGGCTGGGCTTCTCAGGACCGTCTACCACCTCGGGGCTACATGTTGTGCCGGTATTTGTCTGCGTTGGTCATCGCGAGCGCCGACTCGGGTCGGCGAGCGCTGCCTCGAGTCAACAGCGCTCGTTTATTTTCGGTTATCTCTGAGGGCTTCCGGTGGTTCGAGAGGCCTCTCTGTTTGCCGAGAACAGGTGTCGAGGAAAGCCCACGACGTGCTGCCACGGTCACGACGCGGCGTTCCCGGGCCCCAGAGCTGTGGAGCGACGAGAACGTATTCCGAGCATGGTCTCGTTCAAACAAAGAGAACAGGCTGAGTTTTTGCACGCGAACAAAAATAACACTTATCGGCCGTCGCCGTTTCGGGAGCTGGCGTTATCACTCGGCGAGCTGACAGCCTTCAGCGGACGCGACTGCCGGCTGACCTGATGCCGTCCAACATCACCAGCTCGGCTGACGCCAGTCCCGACACGGCAGACGGGCCGAACGGGATCTTCAGTCCCGCCGCCGGGACCGATGCCGTCCCCTCGGTTCCACCGGGCCGGACGTCACTCTCTGCTGCCGCCACCGGAACTGGTCTCCTGTTCCCTACTGGTCTCCTGTTCCCCTGTTTCTCCTCCCCCCGCGACGAGGTTCGTCTCTCAGGAGCGCCATCAGGGCTTAGTGGCTGATTTTGGTCGTGGCCTCTTGTCGGCCCAGTCATTGGCAACTCTTTACGAGCTTTGGCAGCAGAGCCGTTTGGGTTTCAATATCTACCTTAATCGCAACGTCCGCCTTTCGTATTCGAGGAAGTGAGATCTATCTTGCAGTGCCTGTATCTGCGTCGATATCCGTGGAAAGGTGTTCTGCGTTTCCGGCGTTCTGAAATAGAAAACAAGCATTACGGAGGCGTTTTGAATGTTTGGGTACGTCAACAACCAGATAGCCCTTTATCTTACCCTTCTAGGACCCTTGGGAAGATCTGGTGGAAGTTGGGTGAAAAATATCAGCCGGGCCCGGAGCTCATCCGGTCCCCCTCTGGGCCCCAGGGCGGATCGAGTCCCACCAACGGGACCGGTGTCATCCTTCCGTCCCCTTCTCAGCATCTCTTGCTCTCCTTCTCCCACGAGTCCCAATCAGGCCTGAAGGCCGGCCGGGGGTCCGCTAATTTGCCCCGCGCGCCGCGACAGAGCCGATGTTCTCACGGCCGCCAGACCGCGGCCGTCGCTAATTCGGCCCATTGACGCCGCTCGTCAGGCGCGGACGCCCGACACGCCCTCGCCCCTGTTTGCAACGCTGCAATCGTAACTGCAGGGCGGCCGGCGAAAGCCACCCATCATCAGGCCGGCCAGCCGATGAAGTGATTGCGACGTCCGGCGGCCCCTCTCTCCCCTCTCTGATTCGCGGCGGCGCCGATTGTATCGGAGCCGGCGGCGGCGCGGCCGTTTCCGGGTGTCAGCGACGACGGTGCAGGCTGGCGGGTCGTGCCCGGCGCGCCCGGGTGCCGTTGGTGAGCGACGGCAGCGGCAGCGCTGGCACGAATCTCGCCACAGTAGCCGACCGCCAAGCGTGGCCTT